ATTGCCCATCGGAATTACCGCCTTCTGCTGATTTTAAATACCATTTAAAAGCATTTGTTTCATCTTTATCAATACCAATATTATGATTATAGCAATAGGGACTATTAAGAATGAAAAAAAAGCGTTTGAATGGTATTTGAAATCAGCAGAAGACGGTAATTCTGACGGACAATATGATCTAGGGCATTGTTATCAATTTGGTATTGGTGTTAACAAAGATGAACAAAAGGCATTCGAGTATTATTTAAAATCGGCAAAAAATGGTAATTCCAATGGACAATATAGTGTTGGATATTGCTATAATCATAGCACTGGCATTGATAAAGATGAAGCAAAGGCTTTTGAATGGTATTTAAAATCTGCTGAAAACGATAATTCTCATGGACAATTTATTATTGGCTGGTGCTACCAAAATAATATATATGTCACTAAAGATGAAACGAAAGCGTTTGAATGGTATTTAAAGTCTGCAAATAGAGGACATTCTATTGGACAAAACAATCTTGGATGGTGTTACCAATACGGTGTTGGAACTAACATAAATAATGAAGAAGCATTCAAATGGTACTCTAAATCTGCCGAAGGAGGATGTTTTATTGGACAAAATAGTCTTGGAAGATGCTATCAAAACGGTGTAGGAATACCTGCTGATGCGACAAGGAGACAAGAATGGCACGTAAAATCTCTTATGGGAGGTAACCGAAATGCATCTTTGATTACATTTGATCAAGATTGTATAGGTAATATCTGTTATTATATATTTAGTAATTTCAGTCTTTATAGTAAATTAATTTATTTCTTTTTTAACTCAAGAATATTCAATGCAGTCACATATATGCAATACATCAGATTACAACATAGACGCGAGTTTAACAAATACAAGAATGACACTTCTTTCTCCTAGTAATATTTGTTATGTTCATGTTGCACAAAAATTTATTTCATGGTTGCCTAAGGCTATGATCAAAGGAATTTTGAGAATTGAAATGCCTTATAACATCGCAAAAGCGCACTTAGATTTGAAAACGCAAATGTCTAATGCGGCAAATGGTGCAAATGTCACATATTCTATGCAACATGGGACCAGTTATTCATGTAACGTAATGAATCTTTTAACCAACTTAGTACCAAACTGCGCTTCTAACTGTGGTGTGTGTGGAATTTTGAGAGAAGGCAATAGAATGCAATATTCCAGATCAGGTCCTGGTAAAATGTGGTTCGCCAGTGATCCATGCTATTCATTGGGTTACTGCAGAACTAATGGAATTAGAGCTATGTTTTGCGTAGATGTATTATATAATACATTCGATAATGTTATAATAATTGAAAATGATGCGGTAGGGATACTTTATTTGACTTAATTATTAATATCTTAGTATACATCCTTAACTGTATTAATGAATCTTCTAGGCATCCTTACCCAGATTTTTAATAATCTTTTCGATATAAAAACTGAAGTCGATCTAAATTATCAATTAATCATTCATTTCTTCCTAAGATACTGGGCGAATAACCGACGAAACCATTGGGATTTCGATTTTAACATAATATTGTTTTTCATTTAATTTATAAATGCATTATGTCAGGTTTTTATAACGTGATATAAGTAATAGATTATCTCGAAATGAAGATTGGGTTAGAATCGAAGAATTGCAAAATTTTCTGAGTTTAGGAACTGTACAAAAAGGCTTTGACTGCGATATAAATTTCAAAATGTAGAATGGGTTTCAAATTTTGTAGTTGTAAAATGTCTTATTGTCCGAAGCGTAGCGGAGGACTTTATATGTTTACGTAAGGTGATACAAAAGTAACATTTTTGATGCACAAATAATGTGAATATCAAAAATGTAACTTCCGTATTTGGTGTCTGTCCGCATGTGTATAATAGTTACCTTTTTGATGCATCGTATTATTTTGATTTGTGTCGTATCAAAAATGAATTAGTTCTTAGTTGTTATTGCGCTTCGGACACAAAATGCTGTGCATTAACCTAGTAAATATCTATTTTTCGAATGAATATTTTTATTCGCTTAATCGTTCGTGTTTAATTTGGCATTAAAATAATTCCAGCTCACGACCAACATAATTCCGCCCGAAACTATGGAGCAACTTTTAAACGGTTAAACGGTTCTAATCCCTAATTTCTATTTGCCGCCGACGGTGATTGTCATCGGATTGCATTTGGCCAATGATATCACAGGATCAGGTGTAACGTTTGTGTAACACGAAAACGAAGAAAACAATGAAAAATTTTCAAAAATTTGTGTTAACTCAAAATTTCGCCTATGAAACCAACTTTCGTGTTCTAATTAAAAAAATTCCTTGCAAAATTTTATAATATACGATGTAATGCTATTAGCGTTTGTTTTGATCGGGTGACGATCAACGTCGGCGACATAAAGATTTTCGAATATCGTTACAGTTTATTGACGCTATGTATCATTTGTTTAATTCGGAAACAGACATATAACTTATAATTTTGAATAATTCAAGTACGAACTACAATGACTAAATTACAAATTTTAATAAACAATAAAATACAAGAAATAACTTTCAGATATTTTTGAAAATTGATTTTATTTTCAAAAAGTACACCTCCTTCGTCTCCTTATTTAGTCTATAGTGTTATCGTTATTCGAATCCAAGAACCATTCGTGTGCTTTTTCAAAATTTTTTACAATTCAGAATAATAGTAAATACGAAATAACAAAATAAATATCGAATATATAAGATAAATTTGGGTATTTTGACGAAGTTAGCACTTGCTAACAAAAGTCTGTCAAAAAACTTCAAGCTTTATTTTTTTTTGAACCCCGCATTTTATATAGATTGTATCATGATCTCAATGTAGCAATAATTTTTAACTTTCCCTGTGGGAACGCGACAATCATTAACATTAATTCTCATCACTATTGAATATAATAATGTACAGTACACCCTGTCAAAACCGATCCTGTCAAAACCGATAACCTTCCATAACTGATAAGAAGTTGATCCACCATAT